ATATAATGTTAATAAAAAATTGTATTGAATTAGGGCTATTGGGTTAGAATTTCAGCTTTGAGGGAAATAGAAGTCAAAGTGCTCGAACTAAAAGAGGAGCTAGATTGACACAAGCCAGCTTAGGTAAGGTAAGTTTAGGTTTATAACATAATTTAATTAATAAATTTTAAATATATATATATATATATTGAATAGTAAGATAAAGTTAATTAAAATTTCATAAAGTAAAAAGATGGATATTAATAATTAAATAATGTACAAGTTAATAATTAATAAAATAATAGAAATAAATTAACTTTTAGTAATATGAACACCATGTTTATTATAGGCATTAATTTTAAAAGAGTCGAAATCAAAATAAATAAAAAAAAAGAAAAATTACTCTTACTCTTAGATTTATAATAATATTTTATTTCTTCTCAATCGGTATTAATTGTTATAGATATTTATAAAATTCATTTATCAGCTTATCCTGATTTACATACTCCTTTTTTAATTAATTATGTTTGAATGTTAGGTTTTCTTTTAGTAAAAATTATTCCATGTTATTTCAAGATACATATATTATATTATATGTCTTATGATAAATATATGAATGATATTGATTAGATATATATGTTTGTATGAGCATGCTTGACTATGATGAAGTCACACCTTTATGATACTAGCAAACTAACGCTAAGGTACTTGTGCACGTAAATATAAAATGATATTGATATAGAAATACCTTAATTGGTATAATTTTTAGAAGACACTTTTGCGGCTACTGTACAAATATAGAATGATATAAAAATGTTATTATATAGTAAAACTCATTGAACATCATAAAATATTATAAATGATCATATTCTTAAGCTATCAAATGTTTTATAATGATTTATTAAAAACTTATTTGACATGCAAATTATTTTTTTCCTTGTATTACTATAGTTTATGAGTGTGGACATTCACTAGTTTTGGTTAGCACACAATTGCATAAACAAACTTTTAATGTGCAACTAATTGATTAAAAGTGAACAAAAGGATTGCAAATGTGATTGTAACTTAGAAAAAGATTTTATAAAGTAAAACCAAGTCATACAAATAAAAACATCAACAAAAGTGACAAAATATTGAAATCTATTAGATAAAACGGGACAAGGTGCCCATACAGCAAAATGAACCAACTAAATATTATGACTAACTCTTTGATCAATTCTGATAATAAAAGACAAATGATCGTGTATAACAAATTGAAATGACTCACAATCTAAAGATGATTGTAGAAACTGAGAGCATAACTTTTAAGCTCGATAGTGATGGGTGTCTTAATCGATAATGGACCTCAAATGGAGATAATGTACCGGAACAGACTATAAAATGAGACAGTTTGTTATCCAAAATATATAGCCCCTTAGATTCTCGTCCTTCATTAATAATCTTCGTTATAAGATATTGCAAAGTCAATGGTCAGAGAAAAATAAGATATAACAAATCAGAGCACGTGTAAACTTGCTAACAAAGACAAGATTAAAAAATAATTGAGGTAAACTAAGGTCGGACGTTAAATGCAGTGTAGCTGCAACGTTAATGGTATCAAAACTAAAACATTAGAGATTGAATTATCTGCAAAGAGGATGGAAGAAAAATACTTATGAAAAGAGTTTTGGATTACTTGTCATGTGATTTGTGGAACTAGAAAAAATAAACCATTGTGTGGAAGAGAAAAGAAGACAAGTGTCATTATTACTCAACTCGACAAGGGAGGTGATAGAGGAAGATTTCTTGAATGCATCATGAAATTGAATGAATTTAGCATATTTATCAGCAAAAATCGAGAGAGTCTGACCTTGTTAAAGTCCCATCAGCAGTGTCATGTGAGCTGGTTGTGATCTAGAACCCTTCTGATTCTTTTTTAACAACTTCTGACATGTTTTCTTCTTATGACCAAGTTCATGGCAGTAATAACAAACTACTCTCAAACCTTGATTTCCAGAATTTATAGTTCCACTTCCATAATTGCTCTGAGACTAAGGTTTACTGATATATGTGTTTTTATGCATGGAAAAAGAACTAGGTTGTTGTACATATGAAAGCTTAAGAGCTTGGAAAAGTACGCAATACTCTAGCATAAGCTTCCCTCAAAGTAGTAACTCCAAGACCAGAAAGGATACGTGATTTGACACTTTCATAGTAAGAGTTGAGACCAGCTAGTAAATTCATAATAGTCATTTGTTCTCTTTAAGTCTGTTGAATCCAAACATCAGTATCGAAGATCAACAGTGCATTCAATTCCCCTAAACACCTTTAAAGTATATATGATAGGTGTTAAATGATGGATCTTATTGCTCAGCACGACAAAACTCATTGCATGCATCAAAGATTCTAGAAATATTTTTTTCTCCCAGAAAACACAAATATTAATTCCCTCACTGCATTAACACAATCACAATGAGTAATATGACCAGATTGATCAGGTTCGATAGTGTTTTTTATTTATATCAATAGTTGGCTATCAACTCTTATCCACTCAGAATAATCAGAATCAGTCTCAATTAGGGCATTGTCAGTGACGTGTCTCTCCTGGTAAATACTTTTTAAGTAATCTCAGTTTTATTCCAATAAATATAATTAACTTCATTGAATTTTTCATCAATAATTTTAACGATTGAAGAAATCAAGGTCGTCACAGCATGTTTTTGTTTGCTAGTCGTGATTATCATCAAATATTCAAAGGCGCTGAATCAAAAAATCCCAGTGTTAGTTAATAAGTCGAACAACTTCAATGACAAACAATACCATATCCAAAAAAAAATGTTGGCAATCTCGAAGAAGACTTCTTGGTAGAAAACCTTCAAGCAATAGAAGCAGGGGCCGATTTTTGGAACCCCTAACTCACGAACAAAGAAGGTGACGAAGAGAACAACATCGATATAAGAACGAAGACAGAGAAAAACCCTGTTGTCAACACCAGAGAGGAATGACACCAAAGGAAAAAAAAAGGCCGGCGATTGACGACCACACTCAGCTGCAAGACGATAATGAGACAACAAAATACCCACGAATCGTTCTAATCATTCGTCTGTACATTGACGACGATCGTAGACAAGCAATCCAAATGCGCAATTCAAACCGCACATACGCTAACAAATGATTCCAACAACAAATACGACACTCTGATCCAGATGTGTGATTCAAACCACAGACAATGTCAATGAATTATTCCAACTACAGAAATGCACTCTGATACAATGTAATGGGAAAACTTGTTATTCAATTCAAAGAAAATGGTACATATTTACATACACTTAAATATCTATTATGAGGAATATTTCTAATATAGAAAATATCTTGTAATTAAATCTCCTCTAATTAGGCCATCTAATATCAAACCTCCTAATATACATGCTTCCTAAAATATGCCCATTAGATTTAATACTTCCATAACAAATAGAAAACATATAACAAAAGTGATTCCAAAGGAGGCCTAAGGCTTAAAGAACTGTACATAAATAACAACTTGATTACCTCAAAAACATTGCCAGCTTTGTCTGCTTCAACATAAACAAAACCTTTTACATGATCAAGAGCAAATACCGAAAATATATGTAGCTTCTTTCCAATTTTTTGCAAGTCAACAAATTTTTGCATTAAGCAAAAGGAAGTTTGCCTTTCTCGACCCATCTGCAGTAAATAAAAGAAAGGTGAAACAATGCAACATTATGTTACGTCGGTGCCTAAATGCAATTTAGTCTTTTGTGCGTTTAAAAGCAATTTAGTCTTTTGTTATTTATTATTATTTAGAATAAATAGGTCTGATATATTTAGGGTTAGGGTTATGCATAAGATTATTGTCTCGGGTCTTGAGGTTAGGATTTAGGAGAGATTTCCTACCACTCAAATTGAGGATTTGAGAGAGATCGCATACCTCACGAATTGTAGGTTCTTATCTTATGTATTCGTGTTGAGTTGTTTGATGTTATTGCAATAAAAGATTTGTTTGCCCTAATTTATGTGGAAAATCATCTTTAATTTTTATCAAAGTGGTATCTAAGACTTCGATACAAATCAAAGATGAATTTCCACATAAATTAGGGAAAACAAATTTTTTATTACAAGAACACAAACAACTCAGTACAAATGCATAAGATAACACCTATAATTCAAAAAGTGGGCGATCTCACCCAAATCATACAATTTGAAAGGTAGGAAATCTCTCACAATCTCAACCCTAACCTTAAACATATCAGCCCAATTTATACTAAACAATAATAAATAACAAAAAACTAAATTGCCCTTAGGTGTACAAAAGACTAAATTTCCCTTAGGAACCGGTGTGACGCATTCAAAACAAATGAGAGAATATAGGAGAAAATTCGAGGGTATAGAAGTGCAAACCATGCATTTAACCCTCCAAATAGAGAGATCTTTTGTAGCATGAGATACCAATAAAGTCTCATTGCACTCTTTAACATCATCATCAAATGAGATAAATTCTGAACCACGGTACCGCTCCATGATTGCTTCCTCAAGTTCATCATCATTCATCACTTCCTCCTTAATAAAAAAAGGGAGTGGGCTGGACTTTCCAGGTCCTTTTGAAACATTCTTAGCCACTTTTGCACCAATATCAGGTAACTCTGACCATAAAAAGGCGATCAAACATTATTATATATATTGATTACATTAAATGTGTAGTACCCTGTGTGCGGAGTATAACACAAAACACGTTCATTATATTTGCACATAAACACAAATAAGAACTCGCTCATTGGAAGAAAGCAAAACAACATATGGAAATCTGGGAAGGTTGGGCCCATGCTGCAAAATGTAGCATATCAACAATTACGTATAAATAAACAAAACTGGGAAGGTTAGGCACATGCTGCAAAAGTGCATGAATCATAAAAAACAGTATTCAACTTAATTTCTAGTACAACGCTATACCTATTAGATCTAACTTATCAATTACATACACAGGTATTTAATCCATAGGCAATAAAGATGAAAATAACATACCAGACTAGAGATGTATAAATGAGAACAGAACACAAAAATGTTTTCACATGCATTGTAGTAATTGATATGCCATCAATAAATTTCCATCAACTGACACAAATCTCTAGGCCTGATACAAAACTTGAGACATATTTGAGCGAGAAGCGTTCAAACTTTGATTAAAAGTCATCAGAACTCCGATTCAAGCAAACATACAATCAAACTGACCGACTAGACGAGGCGGACCTAATGATATCAAAATTAGTCCAATTAGAGGGAAATCAAGCCCACATCAAATCGTTAAACAACTTCTGAAAGCTTTCAATGCATAAATAAAAAGTCAAAAGAATTTCAAATTTGACAAACTTGTAGTCAAATCGAGCGTCTCAACAAAACAAGTCCAACGAGTCCAAGAACGTTTGATTCTAAAATCATTAAGACACTCAAATGTTTACAGAACACCGTCTGATCAAGGGAATCTCCCCAAGTCGTCCGATCAGAGTGGTCTACATTCCTTCTTATTTGCAATCTACACTTTATAAATAGAGCTTACCCTCTCTTGAGATGAGACAAGAGCATAAGCCAAACGAAGACGTAGCCTAGAGAAGAGGGAGCTGAAGTTAGGTATTCTGCACCGACGATCCGACAAACACTTTTGAATCCTGCAGCTGCCGACCACCGCTCGTCGGCTGACGCCGACTACCATCTATAGTTGCTTGCTCTTTACACTGAAACACTATGTGAAGCAACAACCAACTCCGCAGAATCAAGTAACAATCTGTGAAGCAGTGCATCTCCCAAACGTCATGATGACCCCAAAAGCGATGTACTGAAACTCCATCAATTACTCCCCACAGCGACCACTCCCTACTGCAGGGCATTGAGTTTTTCTACACACGAACATTGTAACTCGGCAAATTATGTAACAATTTCCCGCATATGGGACAAGGGTATGTAGTTGTAATCATTTACTCATAGTGCAATATTTCAACTGGGCAAAGCCCTATATTTTTTTATTTATACGTTTTTTATGCAAAAAAATATGGTGTCTCAACTAATTATTAACTCACAAAAAAATTAGTGTTATGGATTCTTGTATACATTAAATAATTAATTACTCTACTGTCGTCAATCTTCTAGCACGTATCAGTTTGGCGTCATCTGTGAGAAGAAAGACAATCCACTGAAATACTTGTGAGACTTGTTGCATGACCACCAATGCAATACACAACTGAGTGTCCAATTCCAACACCCATCATTCAGGAGGACTGTCGCGAAGTCAAGTGTGTTAGGCCTCCGCATCTTCCAACTCTGAAAGGCATTACCCTACTGGCGAAGGCGCCTCAGGTCCTCAAGAAGACCGAGTACGCAAGATAGAAGAGTCTAAACTTGAGATTCTCTAAATTTTATGCGGAACTTGACAGCTGATGCCCACACAGCTAGATGAAGCTTACTTACCACCAAATCGACAGCTAAAGGGAAATACACCACTCAAACATACTCGTACCACGCCCCTTTCACAATAATAAAACCCTTCCCATGCAAGGACTGAATGTTAACGTCCTTGATAATGCAAGTTTCACTCATCTGTCTCGTGCAGTTCATGTGAGGCTACCCCGTCTTACTGCCACTCTTGATGAAGCAATTTGTCATGAGCTACGACACATGGTCCAGGAAGAGTTCACTCTAAGGAATACGGATCACTTCTCCACTTGCCGCAACTTCCAAGAACCTTCTCCCTTGGCCGAGGCAGTCCTCCAACACCCCATTCTAACAAGTTTTAAGCTCCCGAACATTGATTCCTACCAAGGGGAAACTAACCGCTATGAGCACGTTAACCACCAACTACCATGTACATTCAAGGTGCCTATGATCTGTTTATCAAGCATTCACAATCTCTCTCTAAGAGTTAATCTCAAACCTGATTTTATTCTCTTTTGAGAGCACTATTAATGCTTTCAAAGAGCTTGCCAAATTATTTATGGCGCATTTCATCACAAACAGGAGAATCACCAAAGATTCATCTCATCTCTGGAGAATTCGTCAAAACAAGAGAGTCGCTCAAACACTACTTTTGAGAAGTCTTTCTCAAAGGGCTTTGCCCAGAACCATTCTACTCGTGGTTAATAAGGAATATAGTTCATTTTTATGTTGATCTTGTATATCGTGTTGAAACTCATATCACTAAAGATGAGGCCATCAACTCCCACAAGAAGCAATTCCAGCGATTTGGGGGCAAGTGCAAGAGTGATGTTGGGGATGCCAATCAAACTTTGCAGCGAAGAAAATTCAAGCAGCAAAGGAATCATGACCTCCCTCCTCGACATGCAAACCAACAACGCGAGCTTTGACCAGAGAAGCATACACTGCTCAATACGTCACACGTAAACATTTTGATGGCCACCAAGAATGAAGAGACTGTTAAGTGGCATCATAACCTGAAAACCTAACTCGAGGAATCAGGAGCAATAGTGTCATTTCCATCGGAGTCATGGTCACACCACCGAAGTATGTAAATAGCTCAAAGAAGAGATCGAAGGACTAGTTTGACAGAGCTATCTACGTCGGTTTATGCAGAACAAACCAACTAGTATTAATAATGCTCTCACTTAAGGGCCACCGATGCAGAAGCAACATGGGAAGCACTAAGTCATTGACAAATTCAAACAATCGGTGGAGAACATTTGTTCTTTGACCTAGAAGAAGTCCAAGTATCCCAACATGACCTCGTTTTCAGCACCGAAATTGGCAAACTCTGCTATAACGAGAAGATCTTGATCGACAACGACGACTCTGTCGATGTCTTATTCTGCTCCACCTTCTAACTAGGGAGAAATTTTACCATGTACCTGGGCTATTGTATGGGTTCGATAACAGACCCGTAAAAATCTAAGGTACAATAAATCTCTCCCTATTGTGATGGGAGAATTCCCCCTACAAACGACTCACAACATCCAGTTCATTATCGACAAGTTAGAATCACCGTACAACGCCATCTTCCGAAGGGCACTACAGTCCATCTTCAACATCGTCACTTGTGTATCACACCTCAGGCTCAAGCTCCTAACCCCTGCAGGGATTAGTGTTGTGCACATAGATCAACAGATAGCGCAATCATGCTATCTTAGGCAAGCCCAACCGTGCTTATCAGAGACGCTTAGCACTAAATACTTTGACCTTCGAGACAAGGATGCATCCAAACAAGCTTCACCCTTAGAAAACTTAGTTCATGTTTCATTCTCCAGCGACCAACCTTCATAAACAGTGCAGCTTGGTTCCTTACTCTTTAATAGGGCTGTCAAAAAAGCTCATTGTTTGCGAACAGCTCGTGTTCGGCCTGTTAAGTAGCTCGTGTTCGGCTCGTAACGAACGAGCCGAACACGAACAAATTTTTAAAGCTCGAATTATAAACGAGCTGAGCACGAACAGCTCCTTGTTCGCTCGTTTTCGGCTCATTTTAGCTCGAAATAAAAAAAATTATATAACTATTTATATAACAATATATTATATACATTATTTATATAATAATATATTATATATATTTATGTCTAAGTTTAAATCATAACACCTCATGTAGCAATGTGATTAGTGTCTTCTTTTGTATATATTTGATCCAGGTTCGAATCTCACACTTTACATCTATTTTTCTCAATTTAAGTTTAATGAGCCAATTTCGAGCCGAACAGGAACACACTGTTCACGAGCCGATTTCGAACACGAGTTATTTCGAACGAGTCGAACACGAGGCAAGCCTGAGCTCGCTCAAGCTCGGCTCGTTTACAGCCCTACTCTTTGATGAACAAAAGTAAAAAATTATAAATCATCTTAAGAGAAACCAAGATATTTTTTACATGGACCACTGTCTATATGTCTAAAGTTGACCCAGAGATAACCGTACATCAAACTTCAAGCTAGTCATCATGAAGAAATGCAACTTCACCACGAACCGCCTGTGAGCAATCAAACAAGAAGTCAGCAAGCTTCTAAAAGTAAGGTTCATACGAGAAGTACACCCTGCAAAGCTGTCAAATACTTTTAGAGAAGAACACCCAGGTTGATGCCTCTCCATGCTCGCAACCTCAACAATTGGAGAACTCTTTAAACGGTGCATCGATGATATGAACAAAACCTTGCAAAACATTGGCGAATCACGCAAGTATATGTGTCGTACAAGTAGTATAAGGAACAAAGTTCGTGTATTGATCCCACAAGAAACAACGAACTTCCAAAATTTAGAAAAGTTCTAATCTACTAGATTTAAGTCTAGCTTGAACGTTTCAAAATTGAGTATTTCTAAAGTTTCTAATCCAATTTTTTTACAAAAAGTAGCTCCTAAAACTAGTTTTGAAGTGAAATAAGTGATAGAAAATCCCCCATAATATATCTTATACAAATCAGATCTTTCAATGTGATTCAAATAAAAAAAACTAGGAGCAACAATTTTCCATAACCCTCCTGGCGGTCCTAAGAAAATGAGGATTTCATATTATAGTTAGTCCCAACCATGCAAAAACCACAATGTTTGCATATTTTCCTACACGATTGCACCATCCTAACATCAAGATTCCTATTCTCTTAGAGCGATGTTGGATGACCTAATTGTTTCACTAGCTTACTTCTGTAATATTAGATCGCAACTCGT